ACCAGCAGAAACTATTTTTTCTGATAGTGACCTTAACCTATGACCTTTTGACCTGACTTACCATCATTATCAGATCAATTGCCTATAAAAGAATTACCAGTAATCCCCTGTATTAAAGTTTGAGTTTGACTGAAATCCAGGAAAGGCAACTTATATTTTTTTTTTATTTTGTGGAAAATTATTTTCTAATTATAGTAATAATGACCTTGACTTTTGGGACACTTTGACGTTAAAGGTTATTACATTATGAGCAAAAAAACACTTGGATGAGATTTGAAATTTCAGGTTGAAGGACCCCAGAGAATTCAAACTGTTGTTAAGAAATTTATTTTCAAGGATTTTATGAGAGACATCATGAAGGTAAGTGCTGCATGTGATACAAGAAAATGTTTACTGGTCTGGAGTATCTGGGGGTTTGTTTGAAAAGGAGATATGCAATTATTTTCAGACCCTGAAAATAATTGCATATCAAATATTGTTAATTTTGGAACAGCCCTTGGGAAAGTGTCACTTGTCCTAGTCAAATATAGTGTAATATGTGAAACAACAGTGAAACAAAATACGGTGAACATCTTCTTAAAATTTGTCGGTGCCTTCATTTTTTGACGTTTATACCAAAGTGTTGTTGGCTGGTGGATTCATAACTAGCATGACAGATATATATATGTATGTAAAAAGGTTATTGGTTTGTTTGTGTTTTTGTTTTACGTCCTATTAACAGATATGGTCATTTAAGGGCGTGCTAGGTTTTGGTGGTGGAGGAAAGTCGGAGTTCCCAGAGAAAAACCACCGACCTACGGTCACTACCTGGTGACTGCCCTACATAGGTCTCGAACCTGCGACTCAGTGGTGGAGGGCTAGTGGTAGCAGAATATCAGACACCTTAACTAACTTGGCCACAGCAGCCCCTCTATCTTCTATCAATCTATATATATTTCAATAATTAATGAATCACATAAACAACTTCGGATTTTGATACAGTCGGAAGAACATGATGGCTTGCTCATGAAAACTGTACACGTATTTCCAACCACCTATTCCTGTCACGGCAACTACCTAGTAATCAATATTGAGGAGAAAAGAAAAATCATGTGCATGTTTCTTCTGCTTAACCGGCTAGCGCCAGTGACCTCTAGGTGACCTCTGTGATCTCGGAATCTTTATATAAAAAGCTGATGGATTATAATTATAGGGTGGTGATGACAGATCATTACCTCCCTATTAATACAGCCTAGGCATTGTAAAACTCGGAAAGCTACACAGGAGACAGATAACCAGATGGCATGACCTCAGAGTCTTCAAAGACGCTTTTAATATCATTTCCACAATTTTAATATAAATGCTATATCCATTGTTTCAGTACTGTACGTGGACCAGGTGACAAGGCTGATGTGATGTTGCTGACCTTTACCAAGGTGATACAGGACCTAAGGGACACAGGAGCTGGTTTGTTCCAATATCCTCTAGATCTGCTGTCCAACACAACAGGACACCGACAGCAGCATGAGAAGGATCAAGCAAGGCCTTATAATACTCTCATATAGCTACACCAGACACAGATGACCAAAGAACATAACTTCAGAATCTTTTCAGATTCTTTTAAATATTACTTTTAATATTCTTTGAAATATTTCTTTTAATATTACTTTAAATATTCCTGTAATATTCCTTACAATATTCCTTTAAATAATCCTTTAATATTCCTATTAATATTCCTTTAAATATTCCTTTGAATATTCTTTTTATTATTCCTCTTAATTTTTTTCTAATATTCCTTTTAATATTCTTTAAATATTCCTGTAATATTCCTTATGATATTCCTTTTAATAATCTTTCAAAAAAAAAAAAAAATATCCTTTTAATAAACTTTTAATATTTCTTTAAATATTTCTTCAATATAACTTTTCATATTCCTTTAAATATTCCTTTTATTATTTATTTAAATATTTTGAATATAGGTGAATATCCAATCTTTCAGTTACATGGACCAGATGAGCAGGATATATAGCGAGATGTGATGTGTTTGACCTTTACGAAGGGTCGTAAGGGACCACAGGATCCGGAGCTAGCTGGTCCGCCCCAACATCCTCTACCCTCCAACACAACACGACAAAGCTAGCAGTGTAAGGATCTATACTATCATCCCCGATATAATAGTAAAACCAATATATCACCCTCACACATACAGTCCCATAAGGTTTATCCTGACATTCAATAGATGTGTTTAATTAAATGAACTTCTGCACTTTCAGGAAGATTTTAATGTTCTGTAGGATGAAACCACCAAAACTGTTATCTATTTTTTTTTTCTTTTCCAAGTTATACTCAATTACTTTTGCTCAACAATAGCACACGTCAACCTAGTTTCCTTGACTGCGGTAGTCAGTTACAGACCTGATCCACCATTGGAGAAATTTCATCAAATTGAATTTAAACTAAATCCTGCACTATGTTTTACTTAAAGGTTGAAACCCTTATGCTAGTATTTACTGAATGGCACTCCATCAATTTCAGACATTACAATCAATCACTTTGAGTCTTTTGATCTGTATGACATAGATCTTTCAAGATATTTTCAAGCATATAAATATATTTATTTCAATAAGCCCGAGGGAGCCTACAAATAATCTTTAATAAAAAATGTACAGCATCTGTTGGCATTTCTATGAAGCTGTAATGGGTATGGGTGGGCTTTATTACTGAACCATCATCAACCTCACTGTTTAATAGACTCATTTTAAGTAGAAAATAGACTTTCTTTACCCCTGAATTATCAAAAAAAAAAATCAAATTTGCAAAAAAATAATCAAAACCAAAGTTTGTCCGTTTGAATATTAAAGAATCATATAAAAAACTACATGTATACTGTAAAATTATAAATTTTTGTGGGACATTAAATTTCGTTTATTTTGTGGATAACAAAAATCCACGAAATTAAATCCCCAAGAAAACATATTTAGATTTAGAATGGTTAAAATCAGAAATATGATGTCCTTGAAACAAGCTAGTATATGAAAACCACAAAATTTAAACCCCACGAAAATAAATGATTTTACAGTAACTAGAAGATTAGATATTTCAAACTTTATCAACATTTGGAAATTTCAAACTTTCTAGTTTTGCCAATGATTTTCCTTAACTTGGACCCAGTGTCCATAATTTTCTAAAACACCCTGATGAAAATAGTCGACGACCAGGTGGCTCAATTGGAACAGCATCTGTCTAGAGTTGGGAGGGTCCCAAGTTTGAACCCATCACAGTCTTACCGTTGCATTTTTCTTTCTCCTGTTACATCAATGTGCCTTCATTTATGTTGTGTAAGCGTGCGTGTGTGTATGTGTGCCAGAGACAAGGTATGTTGGTATATTTACCTCTTTTAGATAGCGCTGATCTGATGCCAACTTTATAGTGCTATCTCACTGAAATACCATGCCAAAGGCACCCAGCATGTTCAACATTAAAAGACAAAAGTGAGGTGAGAATCGTCTTTGTGATTTGCCATTTTGTAATATGGATCGGAAATTCACCAGAACTCTAAAACCACTTAATTCTGAACTCTATACTACAATAGAGCTGTCACGATACACTTTACCCATGATTCAATATGTATCTCGATATTTGTACCACGATTCGATTATTTCGATTCGATACACCTTTATTTTGAAATATAAACAAAATGAGATATATAAGCCGTCGATACACGGAAACCCGCAGTGTTTCCACACATTTCATTTGAAGCTTGCCGGAGCATCACAAATTTTCATTTCCTTACGACTGACCGCCATTTTGTTATGAATGCTTTGTGAAAATTTCATCCTCGCAGCCTATTGGTTGAGGGTTAAGAGATCAGCCAATGAAACTGAACGTCTCACAGACGTTTCGGCTGCAGCGGCATACACTAATATTCAGATCGTGACGCATCGAAAATCCGGAAAAAATATATCGTGAATCGAATCGAACATAAATAATCGCGGTACAAGTATATCACTGTGAATCGTGGATGCCTCTATACACTACAATGTTCATACCTTAATTTAACAACATCAAAAATGTCCCAAACTGCTATTTTACCACATACCATCAAATCAGAACTGTAACATGAGGAATTTCCTATCTGTTGATCAGTTATGTAACAAGTGTTTGGTGTCCAGTAACTTCAACACATTGTATACTGATTGATGTACGAGTGACATGCAGTGGACATCTGATCCGGTACAAACATGGAAAATGTGAGGGAGTTTGGGAGTGGAGGGGTTGGGGAATGGGGGAGATGGGAGGGAAACAAGTACCGCATTGCATGATCTTCTAAAGTAGACATAAAGACAAATTCTTCCACATTATGGTATATATTTCAAGTACAGTGAAACCTGCTAATAGTGACCACCTTCAGAAACTGAAAATTGAAACCCCCTTAATTATATACAGATTGCCTAAATTTCAGTTCATAAATACACGTCACCTTATTTTGGTATGTAGCTGAGTTTTTATAGAAAGGTATTTGGCATGAATTTCTAAGTTTGCATTTATTACTATTAATGTGAATAAATGTGAATATTATGCGGACTAAATTCTAAATACCGATACATTTATTTTTTATTTTTTTCTAGTTTTAGGAGATTTATGCAAATACAAACTGATTTAAGTATACCTTCATGCATATTCAATACGACATTCATGCATATTCAATACGACATTCATGCATATTCAATATGACATTCATGCATATTCAATATGACATTCATGCATATCCAATACAAATGCCACCTAGAAACTTACAAATCATTACTTGAAGTAACTTTATGTCAATATGCTGTACATGTACATAATCTTCTATTCAAACTACATGTATGTTTTTAATGAACAATTAACATATCTATCTACAAAATTTGTCTAGATCATCAGAATGATAATGCTTTAGAAAACGATGTTACATCATATGTGACATGCATACAGTCAGNGGTGGGGGGGGTATTGTGTGTTGTACTTTAAAAAACACTTACCTTGGTGTAGATAACATCAACAGCTTTAGAGCGAGAATCAAACTTAAGGATGCTTGTTCCATTACTGACAAAGAAAACAGCTCCTGTAGAAATAAAAAACAAATTACATTCAAATTAGAACAAGGTCCTAATTGATAACACACATCAAATGAGGAATCGAATTAAAAACAAACAAGACAAGGAGTGTTAAATTGGCAGTGTTCACAATGTGACTCAGGGTGTTGTAATCTCTGCGGGGGCACACACTAATGAAAACAGGAGAAAGCCGACACCGTTTGTAATAACAAGACTACGGAAAGGTCAGCTTCCTTCAAACTGCAGCCAGTAAACAGTAATTTTTACTTTCATTTCTGGACAGAAAGATAAATGAATAAAGTTTAAGAAACCTGTGAATTGTTTTACACAGGAAGAGGAAGAGATTGTGTGACACCAGGATATTAAGCATTATACATGTGTCTCGCCTTGTACTATAAATCTCTCTAAAACAGATAGAGATAGGGAGGTCGGGTGGCGCAGTGGAAAGCGCACTTGCCTTTCACAAAGGCGGCCGGGGTTCAATTCCCCAATAGGACGTGACAATTAGGTATGGGGTCACCTGCCCGACCACGTGGGTTTTCTCCGGGGACTCCCGTTTCCTCCCACAGTAAGACCCCCTGAAAGCTATCATATGGGCCAACAAGAGTGATTCGTATAATATGTAAGAAAATGTTTTATAATTTTTGTAAAATAAATTAAGTTTTTATTTATTTCTAAGAAGGACATTGTCACTGCTGTCCCATAAAACGACGTTATCCTTAAATATAAAATGCACCATGGCTGAACACGAATAAAATCTCGAACTTCCAAACATGCTAAAATCAAATTCCATTTAACCTTTTGCAGATCAAAATATTCCTCCTTGATTGCAACTTTCTACAGTAGCTTTTCTTCTGTATCAGTTTAAATTACAAACATCATTTTGAAATAAATTAATTCACATATGCTCTCACTGATAAACGCCATAAGTTTAGTGTAAATTTAATGATATTTTAACAGTAAAATGTTTTAATAATCTCATTTAACAGGAAGATCTTTTGATCATCTCCAACACTGACTTATCAAAAAGTTAATTTTACCCTCTCTTTTCAAATTACATAGTTTTAATTGCTTAATGAAAGAGGCATGCTTTTTTTTTTTATCTCTATAGGCAGTTTTGGCTTTAATTATTTGTGTTTGTACACAATAAATTAACTCATTCAACCCTGAAGACACACTTGAACTCTTCCAATTCAAAGGATGGACTAGTTCATTATGAAACTTCAGGGGTGAATGAGCTAAATGTTACTGTAATAATTTTTACTCAAGAAGAAGAATCTCTAACAAGGACTAGACTTTAGGGTCCCTGTCTCACTGCATTGTGGCTTTTTCTATGTACAGTGACCTCCCCTTAACTTCTATATGGATATTACTAGGGGTCTCACAATATGCCAAGAATGAATATATTGCGATACGTATCCCAATATATTGTCAAAGGAAGGATGTACTCAATTTTATCATAAGTTCTTGTCAGAATGTTATCAAACTTAATCGTATATAATAAAATAATAATATACAACATTTGATATAGCGCCCTATCTAGCTAACATTAAGGTAATAGGATTGTGTCACCATTTCTCAGTAGAATTTCTTCAAATTTTGTAGTTATGTTGCTTTAAAGTAAAGAAAATGTTCTGCCAGAAAAAAAATATAGGTTGTCAGAATTTTAAGGATTTTAAATGGAAATTTATGTAAAAAGGAGTGATTTTTGAAAAAAAAATGAAAGACACAATATATTTACAAAATAATGTCACTAAAAATGATACTGACATATATTAGTACTGCATTAATGTATATCAATTTAATAAAAGCTGAAATTGTGTAAAATTAATTCTCTATACACGATATAAAAATTGACATTTTATAATAAAACCATATACACATAGTAATTGCAGGTAAGAGTTATCGTTCTTGAAAAACTTCATAGTAGTGAAATAAGTAGCCGGTTTCCTGAAGTACAGAAAAATGGACACATGTGACTCATTGATAAAAAAAACTGAATTAATGCCTGGATTGCTTTGAAATACTTTAATATGTAGCGAACACACTGTTCTGTCAATAATAAACATACAATATTCATCAGTTTAGTATTAAACATTAGAATTTGCGGAAATTGTGATACTGTCTCCCTACATTAGATTTTCAACTAGGGATGTACTTCCTGTTTCCGTTTATCAATACACTCCAATGACCTTAAGCCACTCTAAAGCGCTTTACAGTACATAGATATACAATCAACACAATTAGCATATACAATTTGCTAGGAATTCGCAGGATCTGCCTTATCAGGCGCTTATACTAGCCCTATGCCACCTTGCTAATATCTCCCTTAATGAGTGTATGCCTGGGTGTGTGCTAGATCTTGTACGGCAAAATCTGAATCCGCCACTGTACCTTTGTAGGAATAATTAACTGTGATCAATTAATCACCTACTGTGTACACATAAATATGTTAAAATAAAATACTTTAATCAAGAGAATATTCATAAACTAGAACAGATATGGCAATTATAAAAACACATTTACATTTGATTTCATTTCAGATCCTTAGTGAATGGGGTGAATTGGTTAAACACTGAAGAAATTCTGGGATGAAAGTAATTTAAACCCTGCAACACAAAATTAAGACTGCTTTGCTTCTCTGTGTATTCTACAGGCAAGTTTTCATCGAGTTGTGTAATTAAAGATATAGTATCAGCTTGTATTTATAGCAACATCTAAACATTCCCTGGCTCCACAACATTAAAACACCCTGCAGGATGGTTAAATGCTGCACAACGTTAAACATTCTGTGTTCACGAAGTTCTAAAATATTTTTGTAAAACTGTAATGGACACTGAGTCACTATTTGTAGAACACAGGCCATTCAGATTGAATTAATGCCATCTCTCATTCCCTCTAACTATCTTATCCCCGAAGTCACTTAACTTCATGCCGCTGTCAAGTGTAATCGGGCAGTTACCAGATAATTCGGCAGTTTTTCAGGGGGAATATAGATGCTATTACGGCCGTAGGTTTAGCATGTATAGTTTTATACAAATTTGCAGCCCAGTTATGCAGAATGTTTACCCGTGTTTTGCAGTAATTATACTACTGGATGATAAGTGTATGATTGTAACTCCCCATTACATCAATATAAACACATTATCTCAGTTGGAACATGATAGCTTCCACACGAACCATTGCAGTGTGTTATAGTGAAGGGGATGCTCCCCTCAGGACCTGTATGCATTAGTCCAGTGCAATTTTATCACATTAAAAGGTCACTGATGTGATTAAGCCAGAATCATCCAAACCGGTTATAGAACCAGATGCATTTACCTTGACCTTGACATTATACTTATCTAACCTTGATAGTGGGTGACCTTGACAGATACACAATGTTATTATTACCAGTACGACCTTGGCATAATTAATCTATCTTGCTAGTTTGACCTTGACACCAATGTAATAATTTACCTTAATAGTATGACCTTGACATAATCTACCTTGCTAGTATGACCTTCACATAAAAAACCTAACCTACAAGTATGACCTTGATATCAATATTCTACCTTACTAGTTTGACCTTGATATCAATAATCTACTTTACAAGTATGACCTTGACATCAATAATCTACTTTACAAGTATGACCTTGACATCAATAATCTACCTTAGCTTACTTGTTTGACATTGAGATCAATAATCTACTTTACTGGTATGACTTTGAAATCAATCATTTATTGTACTAGTATGACCTTGACATAATGATCTACCTTACATGTATAATCTTGACATCAATCATCTACCATACCTGTATGACCTTGACATCAATCATTTACCAGATCTGTATGACCTTGACATCAATCATTTACCATACCTGTATGACCTTGACATCAATCATCTACCATACCTGTATGACCGTGACACCAATAATCTATCTTACTTGGATAACCTTGACATCAATCATCTCCCATTCTGTATGACCGTGACACCAATAATCTATCTTACTCGTATAACCTTGACATCAATCATCTATCATAACTGTATGACCGTGACACCAATAATCTATCTTACTAGTATAACCTGACACCAATAATATATCTTACCTGTATAACCTTGACATCAATCATCTCCCATTCTGTATGACCGTGACACCAATAATCTATCTTACTTGTATAACCTTGACATCAATCATCTACCATACTGTATGACCGTGACACCAATAATATATCTTACTTGTATAACCTTGACATCAATCATCTACCATACCTGTATGACCGTGACACCAATAATCTATCTTACTAGTATAACCTTGACACCAATCATCTACCATACATGTATGACCGTGACACCAATAATCTATCTTACTGGTATAACCTTGACATCAATCATCTACCATACCTGTATGACCGTGACAGTATGACCTTGACATAATGATCTACCTTACATGTATAATCTTGACATCAATCATCTACCATTCCTGTATGACCGTGGCACCAATAATCTATCTTACGAGTATAACCTTGACATCAATCATCTATAATACCTGTATGACCGTGACGCCAATAATCTATCTTACTAGGATAACCTTGACATCAATCATCTATCATACCTGTATGACCGTGACCCCAATAATCTATCTTACTAGGATAACCTTGACATCAATCATTTACCATACCTGTATGACCTTGACACCAATAATCTATCTTACTGGTATATCCTTGACATCAATCATCTACCACACCTGTATGACCGTGACTCCAATAATCTATCTTACTTGTATAACCCTGACATCAATCATCTGCCACACCTGTATGACCATCTTACTGGTATAACCTTGACATCAATCTTCTACCATACCTGTATGACAGTGACACCAATAGTCTATCTTACTTGTAAAACCTTGACATCAAGCATCTACCATACCTGTATGACCTTGACACCAATAATCTACCTTACTTGTATAACCTTGACACCAATCATCTACCATACCTGTATGACCGTGAGACCAATAATCTATCTTAC